TGTGCGTTCTTTTATTTATTTTTTATTTACTACATAATATAAGTGAATTTTAACATTATTAAAATTAAATGACATAAATACCTCTTAAAATTTAAAAATAGTAAATTTATCTTATAAAGATTTATAATTTATTATTTTATTTAAACTTAAATTAGTATACATACAAATTATTATCAGGTAAGTAGACATTGAAACTTTTTTAACTCCACCTTTCAAGCAACCAAACATGGCGGCCTCTAACGGGAAAAACTTCGATTTAATTAGCTTTAGCTGGATCTATTCATATTTGATACACATTGATATAATTGAGCTAGAACGAAATAAATTTTTTTCCTGTCATGCTGGAAGTGAGTCGAGTCGAATTTAAGTATTATTGAGCTCGAATCGATTCGAGAATTTTAAAATGAAGCTCGACTAGGTTCGAAAGCTCACGAAATAAAATTTTTAAGCTCGATTCGAACTCGAAATCATGAATTGAAACTCGAAATAAAAAAAATCTTAAACTTAACTCAATTGAAATTCAAACTTATACTGTTTTTTAAATCAACATATACATGTTAATATTATTAATAATTATTTTTTTTAAAAATAAAATTTTAATATATTATTTTTTTCAAGTTGCTCGCGAGCTTTTCGAATCAAGTACAAAATAGCTCGTTTCGACTTGTTAAGAACTCAAGTCGAGTTAGAGCTCGAATTGAGTCCATTCGAATCGAGTGTTTATTGAACTTTAATCGAGTCGATCTCGAGTAACTCACGATATATAAATGTCAAATTATTTTAAGATAGATGGATCTTATCAATGAACCCTACGAATAATATGATAAACTGAATCTATATAATAATTTCTCTTAACATAATCATATGAGACGGGATTGACTTATTTAACTGTATACATTGTTTATATAAATATGAAAACTATGCATCTCAATAAATGTCAAGTTACATCCATTGTCATTTCATGTTGTTCATAGTCTCTCCACCTCATTTTTTTAGCCAATAATTTTTATTTTATTTTTCATATAATATTAAAATTCAATTAATTAATCGTTTAATTTGAATTTAAATATTATAAAAAATACAACACTGATATTATTTTTCTCTGGTTTATATACATATTAATACTTTATATATTTTGATATATCATTTTTGAATTTATCATTATTTTTAATATTTTTTTTCAAAAATATACATCTATAAAAACATTATATAAAAATATAAATATTAAAAATATTATTTATGTTTACTAATTTAATTAAATGATCATATTTTCATTTTAAATTTAACTATGTCAGAAATAAAAATACCTAAGATAAAAAAATGGTTTAAAATATTATAATCTTGTTTCCAACTTGTATGGGTTGATATTCATTGGAATATATTAAAAGATACTAAAATGATTGAAACTCAATGAAATTTTGATCGAAATTATAATGATTTAGAATCGAATTTAAAATCTTCAAATTTAATTTATTCTATTGATAATAATAAGATTCAAAATTTGAACCTTGTTTGAGGGGCCTAGAGTCTCAACCACTAAATCAATAAATAGTTGATAAAAATTATTTTTTATTTAATATAGTACATCTACAAATTATAATGTATATAATTTTAGCAAATTATATAATATAAATATTTAACATATATATAATGTGTGTATATATGATTTTTGTAAATGTTTATATTTAGTATATATATATATTAAAATATAAAATTACATAAAATTAGAATGATCTAAGATAGGGTAAATCTATAATTATATATAAAAATGTACCCTAAGTATACCTTCAATTAAGAATTTTGAGCCACCTAAACAATGTATTTTCTCAAAAAGTTTTTGGTAATTTTAAGTTTTTTAATTAAAAATTATGAATTATGGATTTACAAGGTAATGTCCTTTTACCAGTTTTTTGGTAATATTTATTTGATAGGTGGATTAAGATACCAATTTAAATTCTAAGACTCGTATGTTCTTTGTTTATATTATTTTTATATGAAATATGTATTCGTTTATTTAGTATTTGTATGTTCATATATGATTTTTTTTGAATAAATTAACTATTTATTTTACATAAGGTTACATAAAGATATGTTTTGTAGGATTTATCATAATAATTCAATATAAATAATTAATGTGTTGTATTATGACTAGGAGTGAGTAAAATTTGAGTCGATTCAAATTTTTTTTATTTATTAAATTTAACGTTAAAGAATTCGCTTGATTTGACTTAACTCGTAATTTTATAAATTTGATACGGCTCAGAAAAATTTCAAATTTAAGTCGAGTTATAAAATATGACTTGAATAACTCAAATTGTTTTTAGTAATTAATAGATTGATTTTCAAGTTTGAGCCGATTCACTCAACTTTACAAGATATATGTATAACACATATGAACAAATATATATGTATATCCTATATGGTTATAGAAAGCAATTTAAATTAGAATCAATTAATACTACAACATTATAAATATTTTCAATTAAATTTAAACAAAAACTCTAACAACTCGACTCAAATTTTATAATATCGACTCGACTTCAAATAAAAAAAATTAATTTTGAGTTATAAAATAAAACTCGTCAACTTGATTAATTAAAAAAAATTGACTCGACTCGACTCGACTCAACTCAATTAAATACTCACCTCTAATCATTATCATATTGTGTCAAATCACAGCTTGAATTAAAAAAAAAGCAATGTTATTAAAACCGGACCGGACCGACCGGTTGAACCGTGAACCGGTGGCCTCTCCGGTCCGATTAACCCCAAAAACCGGATGAGCACAAAACCGATAAAGAATCGGCTGAAAACCGGTAAAACCGGGGTGAACGGTTGAAAACCGGCAAAACAAGTTTGAATCGCCGGTTCACTTTTTTTCTTTAAAAAAAAATTAAACCAAACGACGTCGTTTGTTCAACGAGCCGAGTCAAATTTGAGTATTGTTGAGCTCGACTCGAACTTGAAAACTTTAAAAGTAAGCTCAACTCGACTCAAAAACTCAGGAGCTAAAAATTATCAAGTTCAACTCGAACTCGAAATATAATATTAAAACTTGAAATCGAAAAGGCTCGAACTCAAAAAAAATTAGAAGTTCGATTGAAGTCTAAATTTTGAGCTCAATTGAAGCGAAAGAATAGTTCGCTTTGTGCTCACCAAAAGGCTCCATGATTTTGAATGTCAAACTACCTCTATTATTTATAGAAGTAAGTTGGGATTAGGGCTGTAAATGAGACGAGACAGATCGCGAGCTACTCGAGATTGACTCGATCAAGACTCGATAAATACTCGGATCGAATGAACTCGACTCGAATTCTTAACGAGCCGAAACGAGCTACTAGATATTCGACTCGGAAAGCTCGTGAGCTACTCGAAAAAATGTTATATTATAATTTTAGATTTTTTAAAATTACAATATAAAAATTTATTAAAAATACATTATTGATAATTATAAAATTTTAAAAATATATTAAAAATTCTATAATACAACTACCCTCAAATTTTATTTTTTTTACTTAAGCAACTCAAGTCCAATTGTTACATTGTATATTACTAAAAAAATAAAAGCACATTTAATTAAGCACATGTTATATTCCAACCTAAACCCTAAACCTACATCCTAAACCTTAAACTCTAAACCCTAAATCCTAAACCCTAAACCCTAAGCCTTAAGCATTAATCCCTAAGACATAAATCCTAAACCCTAATCCTTAAGTCATAAACCCTAAATCATAAACCCTAAACCCTTATTTCGATTATGTGATAGGAGTTAAGTTATGCACATGAAGGTAACATATAAATTATGCAAAATGAAATTAATGAAAATAACAAGGGTTTATATGTAAATAAATTGAATTAAGATATTTCTGTGGATGATTCGAATGTAAATAAACTTAGACTCAATAGACATCAAGCTTATATTTCTGTCGAGTGTAAAGAATTCTAGCAACTGGATTAAGATATCCATTATCAAATAAGGCTTAGGTCTTTTATGTTGGAAAGATATGGCAATGTCAACTTTATTAGAATGATTAATGAATTATGGACTTTTTTAGCTTCCACGTGTTCATTTAATTAGCCTTCCACTTAAAAATGTAGATTAGGTTATTAAAGTCTTTCCTTCAACCCAAAGAAAGCACCAAAACTATCGTTTCCCGTACATAATTGATTCATTTGTAATGTTCCAAAGCTGGAGTTGTTCACCAAAGTATCTGTTATAAAGTAGGCAAAGTTGGTGAACTAAATAAAGCACAACTGCCCTCTTTTTTCCATCACATTTTCCCCTTTATAAACCAAGCCCCTTCGACTTTCTCCTCCACAAGCCACTAATACTAGCATACTACTCCATTGGTTCTTTCCACCTTCCTTTCAATCTGTTTAAGAGCAAATTTTGGGTAATCATTGGCAGCAAGAAGAAAGGATGGAACAATATTTGCAGCAGTGTTCATATTTGCAGTGTGTTTATGGACCAGAGCTTTGGCGCAATCGAGTTCGAGTTGCACCAATGTGCTCATTAGTATGTCCCCGTGCTTCTCCACGCATGAGAGCACTTGCCTTGGGTGGTTGGTTCCATTCACTGCTGCGAATAACCACACTCAATAATATCAAATTCATAAAAAAAGAGTTAAATAGCTACATATTTTCAATGACAAAAGTTACTCACTGGGACTTGATCTTTGTAACTAAAGTTACAGGGGCTATAGAAATTGACCTTACAACAACAACAATCTTGCATGGTTATAATTTCTAGAATTTTAATAGGAAGGAGACACCATAAAGAGAAAGGCAAAGAAAATGAAAGAACCATTTACACTTGTTAATTCAAACTTGATAGTTTTCCAAACCAGACCCTAATTCTAACATCATTCACCAACAATAAACGTACATTTTTGCTTATTCATCTGAAACAAGACACAGGAAAAACGTAAAGACAATACATACCAAACTTAGGAAGCGAACAGACTAATAAATAACAACAAAAACCCTTGAAACTCTTTCAATTTTAACCAGAAATGTCAATGGTTTTTACATCAGGTTTCTTCACTTCCACCTTAGGAACAGTAACAATAAGAACCCCATTCTCCATGGAAGCCTTAACTTGATCCATCTTCACATTCTCCGGTAACCTAAACCTTCTCGAAAACTTCCCACTGCTCAACTCCACACGGTGCCACGTATTATTCTTGTCTTCCTTTTCTATCTTCCTCTCGCCGCTGATTTGAAGCACCCTGTCATCTTCGACCTCAACTTTCACTTCCTCTTTCTTAAACCCAGGAAGATCAGCCTTAAAGACGTGAGCTTCTGGGGTCTCATTCCAGTCGATGCGGGTGTTTACAAAAGTAGAGGTTTCAGGAGAACGAGTCGTGAGTGAAGAAGGGAAAGGGAAGTCCTTGAAAGGATCCCAAACATCAAGAGAGAAATGATGCTCGAGGATGAAGATGAAGGCTCTGAAGTTCTCGAACAAGTAGTGCTCTCAACAATATCCCACATCGTGGAGATACTATAAGATGACAGGACAAGCTCATTATAAAACAAGCGGGCTTGTGCAATTTAAAACATATTTGTCTCGGCCTGTTGTCTAATATTCGAGCATGTATCGAGCTTAAAATTGAGCTTGAATCGAGTTTCAATCGAGCTTGAGTCTTGAGTTTCAATCGAGTTTTTAATTTTTTTAAGTTTGAGTCTTTTCGAGTTCGAGTTGAGTTTTAATATTATCTTTTGAGTTCGAGTCGAGCTTGAAAAATTTAAGCTCGTGAGTTTTCGAGTCGAGTCGAGCTTATTATAAAAGTTTTCGAGTTCGAGTCGAGCTCAGCAATACTCGAGCTCGACTCGGCTTATTTACACCCCTAGTTGGGATGCTCTTCTATGTTTCTTAGTCATGTGGGATTGTTTTGTTCTTATATTTTTACTCTTTAAACTTTTGAGATGCTCTTTTATGTTTCTTAGCCATGTGGGATTGTTTTTTTAAAACAATTAAACCAAATGACATCATTTGTTATGAATTTTTTAAGCCCCAATTTTATTTTTTTGATTATAGTTATATAATTATATTTATTATTTAATATGTTTTACCTTAAATATTATGTTGTAGTTGATTTGAATCATTTTGTTTCACTTGATTTTATGGTTTTTAATTTATATATGTTATGACTTGTGATATTTTTATACCTTTTAATATTGTAAACTTAAAAAAAGTGTTACATATATATTAATATTGCTTTGAATATTATGTAAAATTAAAAAAATATATTATTTTATATAAAATCCGGTTCAACCGTGGTTGAACCCGGTTAGGGGTGAGAATAGGCTAGGCCGGCCTACAGGGGCATGGGCCTGGTCTGTATAAAGCCTGGCCTGGCCTATTTAACTAAACAGGCCAGGCCCAGACCTTTTTAAAAGCCTATTTAACTAAACAGGCCAGGCTTAGGCCTATTAAAAAGCCTTATAAGCCGATAGGTCGGCCTATTTAGAGTGACTACTTTGTAAAATGTACTAATTTAGAGTGACTTAATATGGATTTTACTCTAAAATTAATGGCTAAACTGAAAATATTAAATGTTTATTGTTAAACAGACTTTTAAACAGGCCAGGCTTTTAAACATGCCCAAACCAGGGCTAAATAAAAGTCTTTGACAGACCACAGGCCAAGCCCAGGCCTACACAAATCATTTTAGGCCAGGCCCAGGCCTATTAAAGCCTGTCCTGGCCTGGCCTATTCCCACCCCTAAACCCGGTTGAACCAGTGAACCAGTACCTTCACCGGTTCAATGTCCGGTCCGGTTTTAAAAACATTGAAAAAAGTCATATGATCATATTAATTTTATGAGTGTTTAACTTAATGATCATATATTTATTGTTCTATCATGTTCATGTTAAGTCTCTGTACATCTTTAGGTTTTGCATTATTGGTTATGTTTCGATCGCGTTAATGTTAATTTTACATATATTTAAATTAATAAATTATATAAACTTTTATACATTAATGAGTGATTTATGCTTTTACAAAGTACCTCTCGATTATATGGAGTTGCTTTATTAAGTCTATCAACTATTAAAAGTTACAAAATGGTCCCCTGATTATAGAGAGTTGTATTATTGAGTCCCTTAACTATTAAAAGTAACAAAATGGTCACCTGACTATTCTTTATGTTTCAAACTCATCTCGTTTAAAAATTAACGGTCGTCTGAGTTGGACGTTAACATGCTGACTGCCTTTGAGATTATGAGATAAGATTTTATCATATATTTCGATCATCAAATTAATGTACAGCTTAAACTGTCGTTAATTCTTTAACAAAAATGACTAGTTTGAAATATAATGAATAGTCAAGTGACCATTTTGTAACTTCTAATAGTTGAAATACTTAAGAAAGCAATTCTCTATAGTTGGGGAGACCATTTTATAATTTTTAATAGTCGAGAGACTCAATAAAGTAATATTTTATAGTCAGAGGATCATCTGTGTACTTTACCCTAAACTTCAATTCAATTTTCAAAAAAGTGTGGGAATATTTTAATATTAATTAAAATTGTCTCACTCCCCATGCCACATCAATACTTTTCAAAGATATGAATTAATATGTTAGTAAGTAACCTGTTTTTGCATTAATGAGGCTTTTAATGTGAAATACCAATTAGAAACTGTGAGCTTCCAATTTGAATTACATGAATAATTAAGTTTAGATTAATGAAAAAAGAATCAGTAATAATGTTAAAATCAATGTAAACGGCCTAAAATACTGTTGGATCTCTCCTTAATTGGAGAGGTTCTAGAAATTTCTATAGCTTTCTAGAGAAGTGTAGAATTTTCTAGAATATTCCAAAGAACTCTAGAGAAGTGTAGAACTCTCTAGAAGCTTGTGGAAGAGTGTGGAATCCTCTGGAATATTTTGGAGATGTGTGGAGCCTTATGGAAGAGTATGGAAGAATATGGAAGGGAGTGGAGTAGTATAAATAGGGGTGAGAGACTTCATTCCTAACCATCCAAGAAATTCAAGCTTGAGAAACTAGAGAGTTAGAGAGCCTCTTTTAGAGAGAAAAGAGATAGTTTGGGAAGTCTTTATCATCAAGCTTGAGTGAGCCACCAAGTGTGAGTTAAATTTTGTGAATACATCATTGTAATCCTGCTATTCTTTTGTATAGTGAAAAAATTTCCAAATTGGAGAATTATACTATTGTACTCTCTTTATTATCCTTAATCTCTAAGTGTCTATCTTAACTTCATGAAGTAGGAAAGACCGTGATTCCCAATAGTGGTATCAGAGCTAGGTTCATACGTAGCCTTAATTACCTCATACAGTTCAAGATATAGGATAATGTTGCTCATGATGGAGACATGTTCAAGCTCATAGCTAATAACTACTCTTATTGGAAGCTGATGATGGAGGACCACCTATACTACAAGGATTTGCATGAGCCCATCATCTACAAAGACAATATAGAAGGCAATAGTGATGCTCAATGGGAGCTACTAAATCGGAAGGTCGTTGCTATGATCTGTAAGTACATTGATAAAACCCTATTTGAGTATATTTTTACTTATACAAATGCTTATGAATTATGGACAAATCTTGAGTCCATGATTAAAAAGAAAACGTCACGTAACAAAGCCAATTTAGTTCGACAGTTGGTGAAATTAGAGTATAAGGATGGTCAAAGTTTGATTGAGCACTTAAATAATTTCAAGGGGAGCGTAAATCAATTAACAAAAACCGAGATGAAAATTAATGATGAGTTGCAAGCCCTTTTATTTCTTAGTTTCTTACCGGAAAGTTGGGATACACTTGTTGTTACACTTAGTAATTCAGATTCGAAAGGAAAGCTCACCATGGATACTATTAGTGATAGCCTCCTTGGTGAAGAAGCAAGGAGAATGAAACGAGATGAGTCTATTCATCCCGAAGCTAATATTATTGAGAATCGGGGTAGGAATGAAACTCGTTGACGTAGTTAAAGCCGAGATCTGCATCAATCTCGAGGTAGATCCAAGTCATGCTCGAAGATTACATGCTACTACTGTGGAAGGATGGCCATAAGAAAAAGGAATGTCGATCCTTCAAAAGAGATCAGAAGGCCAGAAATGTTAAGCCAGACCAAATCAGCCCAACGAAGAAACAAAAAAAGAATAGAACTACTGTCGCAGTATCAAAAGAAGATCTGTTATATCTCGTTAATGAAGGTCATATCCTAAACATTGCTTATCATGATAGCTCATGGATTATCGATTCTGGTGTTTCTTTCCATGTTACTCCACATGGAAGTTTCTTCTCATCCTACAGAAGCGGTGACTTTGGTACGATGCAAATGGGAAATCAAGACAGGAGCAAGATCATTGGGATAACAGAGATCATCCTAACGACAAGCACTAGATGCAGGCTTATCTTTTAATATATGAGGCATGTTCTGGCCATGCGCCTCAATCTTATCTCTGCTGGGAAGCTAGATGATGCTGGTCTGATAAATTACTTTGGTGAAGGAAAGTGGAAGCTCACCAAAAGAAGCCTAATAATAGCTATGAGAAAGAAAGAATGATCATTGTATGTGATGCAAGCTAAGCTCTGCAAAGGAGAGGTAAACATAACCACTAAAGATGTGGAGATATGGCATAAACGACTTGGGCACATCAGAGAGAAGGGTCTTCATATGGTCGCTCGGAAACAACTTCTACCTGACGTGAAAGGTAAACTACTTGATCCTTGTGCTCACTATTTAGCTGGAAAACAACATATAGTTACTTTCCAAAGATCTTTTTCGCCCACAAGGAGAACAATATCCTAGACCTCGTACACACCGACGTGTGTTCAATGTCCGAGAGATCAATAGGTGGTACATTGTACTTTGTCACCTTCATTGATAACCATTCAAGGAAGGTGTGGGTACACCTGTTAAAATCAAAGGATCAAGTGCTTGACGCGTTCAAAGAATTATATGCCCTAGTGGAGCGTGAAACTGGACGGAAGATCAAGTGTGTAAGATCTGACAATGGATGTGAGTATAGAGGTCATTTTGAAGCATATTGCAAGAAATATGTCATTAGACTAGAGAGAACTCCACCCAAGACACCACAATTGAATGGACTAGTTGAGAGAATGAATATAACTATTGAAGAAAGAGTTTGATGTGTGTTCTCTCATGCTAAGTTACCCAAATCATTTTGGGGAGAAGCTATAATGGCAGTGGTTGACATTGTCAACCTTACATCATCAGTTCCCTTGAACGGAGGTATCCCAGAAGAAGTCTGGACGGGCAAAAGGGCTTCATACAATCATCTCAAGGTATTCGGGTGTAGAGCATTTGTTCACATACCCAAAGATGAGAGAGCCAAGTTTGACGCAAAGACGAAAGAATGCATCTACCTTTTTTCACCTAAGGATGAATTTAGTTATCAACTTTGGGATCCAGTTAATAAGAAGGTTGTCCGAAGTAGAGACATTGCTTTCTTCGAAGACCAAACAATTAAATATATCAAAAATTCAGAGAGGCCAAGATTGAGAAGCAACAAGAATATTGAACCTACTCCAATTCGACTTGAGGATAATAATACACAAGAAAATAATGATTCTAAAGATCATGAACCTATGTTATAGCAAAGCAACCAGGAGACTCATGATGAACCAACTCAGGAAAAGCCTCAATCTAGCTCTTCAACAGCACCAGAGCTGAGACGATCCTCGAGAGATAGAAGACCATCCACTTGGTATAATACAAATGAGTATGTTATGCTCACTGATGAGGGAGAGCCTCAAAGCTATAAAGAAGCAATAAATTATAGTCATAAAGAAGAATGGAGAAGATCCATGCAAGAAGATATTCAATCCTTGCATGAGAATCACACTTATGAACTTGTGGAGCTACCAAAAGGGAGAAGAGCCTTGAAGAATAAGTGGGTATATCAGATCAAAATAGAAGATAGCAGCTCAAAGCCTCGCTATAAAGCTCGATTGGTTGTCAAAGGATTCATACAAAAAAAAGGTATAGACTTTAAAGAAATACTGTGGTAAAGATGTCATCCATATGAATAGTCATTGGCTTAGCAGTTGTTCAAGATTTGGAGATTGAACAACTTGATGTTAAGACGTCATTCCTACATGAAGATCTAGATGAAGAAATTTACATGGAGCAGCCTGAGGGATTTAAAGTTCCAGGCAAAGAAAATCTACTGTGTCATCTGACTAAGAATCTATACGGGATTAAGCAAGCACCAAGGCAATGGTACAAAAAGTTTTACTCTTTCATGGCATAACATGATTTCAAAAAGACAGAAAGTGATCATTGTGTCTTCATGAAAAGGTATGCAAGTGTCGACTTTCTTATACTCTTACTATATGTTGACGATATGTTAATTACTAAACAAGATCGCATGAAGATAACTGCTTTAAAGAAAGAACTAAGCAAGAGTTTATCCATGAAAGATTTGGGACCGGCTAAACAAATCCTTGGGATGCGAATAACTCGTGATAGATAAGAGAGATTGTTATGGCTATCCCAAGAGAGATACATTAAGAAGGTGTTGGTAAGATTCAACATGCATAAATCAAAGCCAATTAACATACCACTTGTTAGACACTTCAAGCTGAGTTCGAAACAGAGTTCCACAAGTGAGAACGAAATAGAGGAAATTAAGAAAATTTCATACTCATCCGTAGTAGGCAGTCTCATGTATGCAATGATATGCACAAGACCAGATATCGCCTATGCAGTTGGAGTCGTGAGTCGCTTCTTGGCCAACCCAGGAAATGAACATTGGGTAGCAACCAAATGGATCATTTGATATCTACGAGGAACTTCCAAAAGGTGTTTATGCTTTGGAAAAGGAAAACATGTGTTGGAAGGATACATAGATGCAGACTTGGTCGGTGATATTGATTCAAGAAAATCAACATCAAGATACCTAACTACTTTTGCAGGGGGAGCTATCTCGTGGCAATCAAAGCTGCAAAAGTGTTTTGCATTGTCCACTACTGAGGCAGAGTACATCGCAGCTACTGAAGCTTGCAAAGAGATGTTATGGATGAAGAATTTATTGTTGGAGCTGGGAATAAATCAAGAAAGATATGTCTTAAAGTACGACAATTATAGTGCAATTTATCTTGCAAAGAATTCAACATTTCATTCTCGCACAAAACACATAGATACTAGATATCATTGGATCTGAGAAGTTCTCGAAGAAAAGCAAATACATCTTGACAAGGTTTACACAGATGAGAACTGGTCTGTCATGATGACCAAGGTAGTACCGATAAAGAAGTTCGAAGATTGCTGTCAAGGTGCCAGCTTACTACTACCTCCCAATTAAGTCGAGAGGGGGAGATTTATTGGATCTCTCCTTAATTGGAGAGGTTCTAGAAATTTCTATAGCTTTCTAGAACATTCCGAAGAACTTTAGAGAAGTGTAGAACTCTCTAGAAGCTTGCGGAAGAGTGTGGAATCCTTTGGAGATGTGTGGAACCTTATGGAAGAGTATGGAAGAATATGGAAGGGAGTGGAGTAGTATAAATATGGGTGAGAGATTTCATTCCTAACCATCCAAGAAATCCAAGCTTGAGAAACTAGAGATTTAGAGAGCCTCTTTGAGAGAGAAGAGAGATAGCTTAAGAAGTCTTTATCCTCAAGCTTGAGTGAGCCACCAAGTGTGAGTCAAATTTTGTGAATACATCCTTGTAATCCTACTATTCTTTTGTATAGTGGAAGAATATCCAAAATGGAGAATTATATTCTTGTGTTCTCTTTACTATCCTTAATCTCTAAGTGCCTATCTTAACTTCACGAAGCAGGAAAGACCGTGATTCCCAACAAATACTATGATTGGATTGGAATATAGCACAGCCGAATGTACCCCAAGCTCCAATTAAGAAAGAAAAAAGAGCTTAAGATTTAGTGTTCACAAAATATATTTTGAATGTTTGATAGTAATAAATAAATATTATTCTTAGTTTAAGAGTTTAATATTTATGAACGAACCAAGCAACTTCAGTGGTTAAGAAATTGTTGTTATCTCTTAATGTCTTGAGTTTAAGCACTAAGTATGAATGAGTATAAGAATGTTTATTGTCAAATGATTGAGTCTTTAGACAAATAATATATCATATTCACCCCAAATTAATCAAAGAAAGATTTGATATTTATTGAATTTATATTAATTATAAATATGTTGGTGGAAAACGATGAGTTGTGGCAGTTTTTGACAGTTCATTCTTTTTAATTTAGATAGAGAATCGTAGTCGGTTGTTTAGTAAAGACGAAATAAAGACAACAATTAACATTCGTTGAGAGAGAAAATTTGCTCTTTTTAACCTTGCATGATGACTTATATACTAGCTCTTAGTGATAGTGTTAGGCCTAAGGTGATAATATTTTATTGAAAGTTGACAGGTTAAATCGATCTAGTTGTCATATAATGAATTGCAAATCACATAAGTATGTCGATGGTCACATCAAAATGTTGTAGTTTTATGGATGATACAAAGTTCGACAGGTTTTGGAGAATTCGGATAATCTTATAAAGCTCTGAAGGCTCGAAATAATAACAACATAGACTTGACTTTTAGAAGAGATCCATGTACTAAGTTGTTTTTAGAGCTTTTTATGCAACACATTTGCTTCTAAACATTGCCCAATGGTCATTCTAATTTCATACAAACACTTTTTAAACATCATACTCATTAAAAACATCATACAAACATGCTTGGAATATCAAATATAGCAAAAACTCATGTTTTAGCTTCCAAAGTTCCTTTTAAGCATATTATTCAACAAATTAAACTAGTTTTAGCTCTATACCAACTTATGCTTCCTAAAGTATCAAAACTCTATTAAAAAGTACATTTAACAATGTCATATCTTCTATGCAAAATTTGATATACTAAGAAAATGATGCACTTTACATGTACAAGAACCATGTTATACATAGACTAGTATTTCATTATGCATTCAAACTACTCAATTAGACTTATAATAAATATCAAGCAATGTTATTGAGTTCCTTCCATCAAATGAGCATAACAAGTCTATTCCTATCAAACATGCATCTATATAATGAGTTCTAGTAAGCTAGTCATGAACCATTGAAATAATAACTTTATTAATATTAAAATAAATAAATCTTTAATTTCTCAACTAAATTGGTACTTATTTAACGCATGACATGTAACACCCTTAACTCGTACACGTCTCGATATACAAGTCAAAGATGTACATCAACCCACAAAACATTTACTGAACTGAAATTTGTCTAAAATTTGTTTTATTTTAAAACGTTTCTATTTTAACTTTAAAAACTATTTTATGAATATCTTAACTTATAAATAAATTCTTTGTCGTAGAAAAATAACTCCATTTGTTAACCAATGATTTTACCGATTCATGTCTTTTCGTGAAATCTTTTTTAAAACATAATAATATAATTTATTTTTTTCATGCATAAATACTGATAAAACTAAACTATGTAAAATAAACTAAAATAGTTCTAGTTTACTATTTCAAACTATTTAAAATAAATACGATAAATAGAACTACTGACTTAATTATACATGCCACTAAAAGTCAAAAGTAACATCATAGATGTCTTACTGATACTGATGATAGGTATGTCTTTCCAAAAAGATGCTCCGGTGGCTCCTTACTGCTCGTACTTATCTTTACTAGAACCTACGCATGAAAATTATCACGCGCTATTAGTGAGGCAGTAGTAATCTAAGGTGAGAAAAATTTACCAAATTTACAATTTGGTTCCCAAACTTGCAATTTGGTTCCCAAACAACCTTCCAATTAAATTTCCAGCATTACAAATATCAATAATCAACATGTAATCCTTCAAATATTTCAATCTTACAATAATATCCCACAATTTCAAAAACTTGTAAACTAGCCCTTTTGTACTTTTATTGTTCTAAATTGATCCAAATCAATCTCCAAACAACATAAAATACTTCTAATATCATTTCTAATCCATAGGAAATTTTTCAACATTTCCCCCCAATTTTCTTCCCTATGGCCGAATAATTCAAGTCACCTAGGGGGACTTTTTGTTCAATTTCAAGCATGAATTCAATCTCCTATGATTAAATTCATGTATTTCCAATCATCACAACATCAAATTGAATCAAAATCTCATCATTCTCATAAACCCTAACATGTCCAAATCTTATATACACATGTACAATTAATTCTAATCATTGTACATGCTTTAGAAATATTCACTAACATTAAAAACATAAAAATCCTTCGACAACTCTTTAAAACCACTAAACTCTTCATAACCCTAATCATCAAATTTCATCACACAATCATCTTCACCATGAAATTTTGGTACCAAATGATAGAGAATTTCATGTAGATTAATTCTATATCTAATAACTAAACTCAAAAATCAAGTAAATAACTTCAAAAATCAAAATTAAAAAAATTTACTTTGAAGAACTTGAAGTTTCAGCCCTTGGAGAGAAGAAATCTGAAAATGCTAAACTTTTCTTGATTATTCTAATGATAATTAGCCTTAACATATGGCTAAATACTAATATAATTGAATTTTTATTCAATTATTAAGAAATTCCATTTTTGCCACTAATGAAACTTAAAAATTACCAATTGCCATTGTCATATTCTCCATTAAAATATTTCTTGGTCAAAGATGAATCAACTTGGCTTTGAATTTTCACTTTGGCCATGCAAATTTTCAAAAATTGTATTTTAGTTACTAAAATTCCACAGTTTTGGTCAAATCTGAAAAATTGCACTGTTCTGAGCCAAAATTTTCTTATCTAAAGTATAAAAATAATATTTCCAACCATTTTATAGCATCCTTCAAATTTTCATAAAATTTTAGTTCGATCCGAATATCCGATTTCGATATCGAACTTTACCGCTTTATAACTTTTAACACAAGTCTCGTACTGCAAATCTGATTCCCAATAAAATCTATGATTTAATCAAAACTTTTCATTTACACGTTCAAATATATAACTTTTAAAAATTATAATTTTGTTCCCTAAACTTTTCAAAGTTTATACTTTAGTCACTAAACTTTCAAAACTTACAATTTAGTCACTAGACAAAATTTGGGGTATTACATGACACCAACTCAATAAAATATTTTAATAAATAATTAGATGATGATAGACCCATAAAAGTGGATGAAATAAAAAATAATAATTTTAAAATAAATAATATAATTTTTTTAGAAGTGATATTTTTTATAGTATAGATTTTGGTTTAAATAGTCATTTAAAAGATAAATAAATATTAAAAATAAATTTATTTGGTTAATTAAATATTTATTAGTATTATGATAAGAAATAAAATTCAAATTTCGCCTAAGATTTTCTAAAACTATTTTATATAATAAACTTTGTTATATCTCTTTGGGATCTCCTCTACAATCAACTCTTTTAATGAACAATGTTCTCAAAATAAAAGGTCTTCGAAGGTAGGATTGTGAAATCAAGTAATCGTTTAGGTTTCAATCGAACCCTGTCAGGTCAGGTCAAATCAGATACAAGTTGAGGTCAGGTTAATTTAATGGTTTGACTCGGATTAGGTCTGGCCTGGGTCAATTCAAGTCGGGTCATTTTCAGGTTGATTTGACATCAGATTCAGTTTGGATTCGGGTCGGGTTAATTTTAGTTCAGATCGATGTCAGTTCAGGTTAAAATAGTTTGATTCCGAAGTAGTTAAATACCAGGTTAATTCAGATTTATATGAACTTCAGTTAGATCTCGTTCAGATGTCACATCATTGACAAAGAAAATTTAGGTCGGATCTTATCGGATACAGATTGACTTCAGGTCAGGTCATTTTTGGGTTAATTATTTTTCGCCTTTCAATGTTTCATGAACATCGAGTTGTAATTTGTAATTTTATATGATTTAGAATAAATTACAAAAAATATAAATAATTATGGGTAAATTTTGATAAAAATATATTTTGAAGTATTAAATTGAAAAATATGAAATCACAAACAAAAATTTAAATAAATTAAACAACACACATGAATGAGGGATCATATCGAAGTAATTATAAAATAAGAAGTTGAAATTAATATAAAAATGGACTAAATTGCATCAATTTTAAAAGTTGGTGAACAAAACTTTATATGGTTTGCATCAATTAAAATTTTAAGATTTTTTGTTGTAATTTTATAATGAGTTAATTCCTCCATGTGACTGTGACACCAAACTTAAGAACTTATTTTCTCAATAAATGATGAGGAGCCAGTGACACCAAATTTCTACACGGTGGAACCTACCTCTCAATTCCTCAAAGACCCATGTTTTGGAAAATTGACTGATGGGAAACAGACAACCGTCAATCATGTGTAAATTTGTAAACTGTAAAGTCTCAGTAGTTACCATCCCGGACTCCTATAAATTGTGCCACAACCCATGCCCCAAAAGCACACAATACAATCTTTGCATTACAATCTTGTGTAGGAAAAGAGAAGATGAAGAGGGTTTCCTTTGTTGCCTTATGTGTTGTGGCACTGGCGGTGGTGACGTTTTCGGGTGAAATTTTCACGGCGGAGGCAGTGACATGTAGTCCCACTGAGCTTAGCGCCTGCTTACCGGCGTTCACGTCGACGGCAGCTCCATCAACCAATTGTTGCAGCAAGCTGAAGGAGCAGCAGCCATGCTTTTGTACGTACATTAAGAACCCGTCTCTTAAACAGTATATCAACAACCCCAACGCTAAAAGGGTTGCTTCCATTTGCAACGTCCCATATCCCAAATGTTAAATGTTGCTTAATTAGTGTATCTGCAATCTACCGACAGCAAATAGGGCTTGTTTTTGCTGTCTAAGTACTATTCTAAATAAAAGATTAGTGAGCAGAAGGTATCAGATAAAATTAAGCAATGTTTTTCTATTTTATAATAATATAATAATTATAGTACTGATTAATGCTTCTTGTGGAAATTTGGCCAATCTTGTTCTTGTTTTCATTTTTCATTATTTTTCCTTCTTTTTAAAAAAGCAACACTCCAACGACTAAATTTGTCATAAATTAAAGGACAATTTTCCCCTTTCAACACAATTCATAGAAGTATAAAAAGACTAAAACTGTATCAATTAGGTTTAATTCAATTGGGAAATCTCCATTTCTTCCTAACTCATTGATGAGTCGATGTCAAGCCTTGGGGATAAAAGTTCATGGTGTGCGGAGTTTGGCTTGTGCAACTATTTCTAGTAAACACTACTTGAATATTGATCTCATAATATTAGGAAAAGAAATATAATTTTATATTAGGAGTAAATTTATAAAATTTTAAAATAAGAAAATAGATTATTAAGAAAAAAATATATGAAAATTTAAATTTTTTACAAGACTTGTTTTCCCATCCATCAATGAATACTATTACGATTGAATTTGGAGAAAGAAAAGAGACAGTTGATTTATCTAACACAGTTGATGTGAAGCGAATATACTTGATCAAACATCAAGCTTTTGAAAAACAAAATACTATTTATATGAACTTTTCAAAAAGAAGAAACAAGAAAAGCTATGATTTTTTCTAATTTTTTTTAACTATTTTTATTATTTGGTGATGTAGTTATTTCAGAGTCAATTGTGATTTCATTGACATGCTTATTAATTAAAGATTAAAATTAATCAATAAAGAGAATCGTTAAAAATGAGATTAGTTGTATTTTTTTTCTTTCTCAAATATGAATTCAATATTATTTAACTGTAAATAGCATCATTAACAATATCCAACGCAATACAATCTGGATGCTCGTAAAATAACCAAATGGGATCATTACAATTTAAAGCCCATTTTGGCCGCTTATGTGCTACCCCATAGCAAGCTTTAAAGCCCAGGTGAGCCTTCAACAAATCCAGTGCCTGGGTCAAGCGCAGTCCCACCACGTTGGCGGCATCTCCCTCAAAGATTATGTGTTGTCATCTCTGGTCGCCATCGTGCGTGCATAGCCAGCAATTACACCACTAGTGTGGTCTCATGCCACAACTCCCCACAGCTGCAGCACGCAAATCATTCACAAAAGTTCCATCTATAGTTGCTTGAACTGTTCCAGCTGGTGGTCTAGACCAGCTTATAACCCTGGCTGGGAAAACTAGAGGAGGTGGAGGCCAAGACATTTGCGACGCTGAACTCCTGCTGCAGCGATCGAGCGTTCTCCACCACAAGGGTAGCATGCTGAAGCATCCCTTCATCGATCGACTTGTTTTTTCTGTTCCACACAAGCCATAGTAAAACGACAAGAGTTGTAAAACGCTCACGATCAAACACAACCATAGCAGACTCAAGCTATTCCTTGCTTCTTGTTTACTGCCCAGCCAGAACTGGGGCATCAATTCCAGCTAGGGAGATAACTTACTTAACTTTGGCGGAGTCTCTTCCCGCATGCGCAACGGTTTCCACGTCTTGGTCACAAAGCTTGTGTTATGAATCAGAGACCAAAATCAACATGTTCAGCGTGTTAGGTGACTACGCTCGTTGTAGTGACTTGGATATATAAAGGGGTCTTGGTTTTGTAACAGATTCATTGAAATTTGTTATCAAAATACTTTCCTCCTAATCCTCTTCTCTCTTATTCTTTCTCCTTTTCTTACTTTCTTCTTATGTACTCTTATTTACCATTATCAAAACCAACTGCCAAGAGTCTACTCCCCGTAGGCAGTGCCTCATGCCCCAATCTCCACCCAAATACTTTAACCTTTGGTAGCGTAGGCATGGTAGATAGCAACTTCCGTAATTTGAAGTGATCCTCGTAGTGACAGATCCAAAAAAATTTGTGAGATTGGGCACACTTGCATGACTAACATAAAATTTTCGTATGGGTGGACACAATGAATAAAATAAATAATTAACTGAAGAAAATTCGGATTTCAAGGTGTGCACATAAGGATGAATCTGCCACTGGATCTACTGTGGGTGTTCGAGCTCGAGTATTGGTGAGTTCGACTCGACTCGAAAATTGTAAAATTGAGATTGACTCAACTAGAAAATTCACGAGTTCAAACTTTACTCGAAATAAAAATTGAAGCTCGACTCGAGTTTGAAAAACTTAAACTCAAAATATTATCAAACCTAGTTCGATTGAAGCTCAAATTCGAGTTTGAACATGAACCTTTAAGTACATGAAACATTATATTATTATATATATATAATTTTTAAAAAAGAACAATATATAATTGTTAATATTATTTATAATTTAATTTAAAATTTTAAAAAATCAATATATTTATTTTTTTCCGAGTTAATAATGAGTTTTTCAAGTCGGATATCAAGTATCTCTCTTCGGCTCGTTAAGAATTCGAGTTGAGTTCATTCGATTCGAGAATTGATCGAGCTTTGACCGAATCAGTCTCGAGTAACTCGCGATTTATCTCGTCTCATTTACAACCCTAATCTCCACACCTAACAGCGTTATATAGCACATTAGAATAAACATGTCCTGTACCTCTCCAATTAACCTCATGCATGTTGACTCTACTGTCCAGTCCAACACGCCAGAAAAAACCATCTTTCAAGGCTCGCATTGTTCTGAATACACATCCCCATGCATAAGACGGTTTGTTAAGAATCTTTACCTCAAATATGTGACCGGTTGAAAAGTATCGAGCAGAGAGAAGCTTATAGCAAAGGGAGGTACGATCTTGAAACATTCTTGAAATATATTACCGGTTGCATAAGATGGTTTGTTAATAATCCTACGCTTCAATTGATTACTCATCCCCCAAAAAGATTTAATCAAGCATGATCACTTAAACCTGAAAAATTCATGATTATCTAGTAGCACAGCTGCTCAACATCATGATTTTAAAACTCCAAATAAGATACAAATATAATGAATTAATGTACCTATCCATACTGTTAATTATACGCAATAAAGATAACATTCTAACAAAAGCTTTCCCATAGTGATTTCAAATTTCGATGGTAAATAATTTATTAGAATTCAAAGTTCAGTATTTGACAATTTTAAAATTTGAATCACCATAACCACGATATTAGTTTTCTGTCATTATAAGAAAAAATTATACTCCCGACGAATTATATAAATTATAAAACAATAAAATAAAATATTTGGATATAATTATTATTTATCAAATTCTTCTACTTATAATAAATTATAAATTTAATCTTTATATTTCAATATAATTTTTTAAGTTTTATAATTCTGATAGATTCCAATGATAATTATTAAACATATTATATAATATTTTACTAATCTATGTATTATACATAAATTAAATATTTGAATATTATTTTTAAATTTATATGTCATTTAGAATAAAATTTTAAAATTCAAAAAATATAATCATGAAAATTATAAATTCATCATCATCCGAGGCGGGTTAAAGTTATTAATTTCCCAATATCTGTCTTATGCTTGTCTTTATGATTTCTAGCACTTCCTAACGATCATTTACCTCACCTCCTATTCCCATAAATTCATGCTCCCCCTGCATCTAATTAAGAATGCAAAATAATATTTTTTGTCTCTCAAAATTTACATTTGCACATTATCAATATTAAAAAAATATAAAAAATATTATCTTATAATCATCTTAAATTATTTTAAAAAATTAGTAATATGATTAATTATACATTATACATAGACTTTCAAATTAAAACGATTATTTTAAAAATTTTAATAAATAAAATTTAGTTATAAAAATAATTATATTTATGCACGAACTAAGTTATTTCAATAGTTAAAGGGATGGTTGTTGTTCCTAGAGATCTCGAATTCGAACACCAACATCTACAGAGGTGTTTGAGCGTTCAATATCAAATAGTTTAAAATCTTTAGAATATATTATATCTTGTAATCACCTCAATTTTTTTTGTTACAAAAAGTTTAGGTCATGGGTAACTCCCCAATCATAGGCTAATACACATACCTTGTATTCACCTCAATTTAATTAAAAAAGTATATATATATATATATCGTAACTAGAAAATATAATAAGATAAATGTTGAAACTTTTAGAAAAAGAATATTTTATATCAATCATGCATTTTCTTTAGAGAAAAGGTTTATACTTTTGTATTAAAGTTGTATGATAATTGAAAAGAAAGAAAAACATTTTATTTTCCTTATTTATTTATTTATTTATTTTTGTTTTACTAAATCTATAAGAAAGGCGCTGTATTCCATCTTGATGTGATTAACAGTTATTCCAAAACCTGTGGCACGCTCAATTTAGCTTCATTGACCATACAAGCGCATGTTAGCATAGTGTACTCACCAAATCAAAACTAACAGATTTCAATTCCATTTTATAGTATTCAATCCAATTTAGTTCAAAGAAAACATAAAACAAAATTGGGGAAGAAAGCACCAGAAATTCAATTATTAAAAAAAAAACATATATCTTTTTGCACATATTTAATTTTAATCCAAAATTATCAAAATATATGTAGTTTAATTTTACTCTGAAATAGTGACCAGCATCGGTCGCCAAGCTCTCCTTAATAACCTGTACCGGAACGACGCCGTTACAGTTCTCACGGAACCGGAGCCCCGACTTGTAAGCTCATCACCGGAACCAACGGTAACCGGTAACAGATCTTTCGTCTCTTCTTCACAGCTTTTACCGCTACTCTCCCTTTCTTCCGACGGCGGCGAAGCCATGAAGAGTTCCTTTAATTTTCGCCTTCCTTTTCTCCCGTTGGAGTTTTTCATGTTGTCGGTCTTGGAGGTAGCTGGCGGCGCCGAAGGTGGAGGTGAAAGATCGAAGTTGCTGTCTTCGTGATCTCTGTGACAAAGACGGCGACCGGTGGCAGAAGAGCGGTTGAGGAGCATGCGAAGGGTTTTGCGACGACGGAGATGGACAACGGGGCTGGTTGTAGGACTACGACCTGGACTGGAGGCTACGGCGCACTGCGTTGCCAAAAGTTTGAATCTGTGAAGACTCGCCATTTTCAAGCTCGGTGAAATCAGAGACTGAAAAATAGAAAGAAAAAAGAGAGCGAGATCTAAAGACAGAGAGAAAGGAAACAGTTATGTATCCATAATTTATTTCTAAATTAAATAAAAAAATTGAAAGAATGCAATACTATGATAATAAGAAAAAGTGGAAAATGAGGTGCTTTTTGATTTGTTTGGAAATGCATAGTGGGATGGTGATTATCTCTATATGTTTGGGACTTTTTGGTAAATATATAGACACGTGGAAGTCAATGAGGGTATTGGAATTTTTAAGCTGAGGACAGGACTAAATCAGACAAAAAATGTTGAAAAGGCCGTGGTTTGGAAGAAGGGTTGGACTTGTATTTTTTAATCAAGAAAAAATGCAAATAAAATTATGGCTTCTTATTTCCTTAACTAATTGAGTGGTTTTAACGTAAAAATAGAAAATCTTTTAGATTTTAAACTCGTATAATTATATTTATTATCTTTATATAATATATATTATTAATGACTAATAAATATCTTATACAAATATTACATAAATCTTTTAAGTAGCCTAAATCAGTCACCCTAAAGCTACTGATGTGTGTTATGGAAAAGTTGCAGCAACAATTATGAGTAAATATTTGATTGAGTTTAGTCGGCTCAAAATATTTTGAGTTATTTAAGTTGATAAATCATATTTTATAACTTAAATTTTATTTTATTTTATTTTTTAATTCGAATCAAGTTTATGAAGTTCGAATTGAGTTATTCGAGTTTTGATTTAAATTCAATCATAAATATTTATAATATTATGATACTATTTGATTTCAATTTAAATGATTTTATATAAATATACAATATACATATATATTTCTTTATATTTTGTATATATGATATACATATATCATATAGAGTTGAAATTCGATTTAAATTTTAAAATTAATATACTAATTAATAAAAGTTTCAAATCGAGTTAACCCCTCCAACAATAAAGATGGGCATGATGAGCAAATGATTCTTCTTGGTCATGCCGAAACGCTCTTTTCTCGAAAAATGGGTCCAACTCCAAGGCCTCAGATAAATGCTTATTGCCTTAACTGGAGCCCATTGTGCAACAGATGACTGCCTAAATGGTTTTAGGATTGATCGAGAGTCCATGACAAAATTGCATCAACAGAACTTCCTTATTGTCATTCAACATCAGAGATGTTCTTGTACGCATAAAACTAAGATCAACAAAGTAGGTCTCCACCAGAACATTCAAATCAGATCGGGTAGATTCTAAATCAGCTTAAACAACGTTATATATATGTAACACTTCGAAAACTGATGCAAATTTTTTTTGATAGTTTGTCTAAAATTATGTTTCGATCGAGATATGAATTAAGCATTAAATTGTAAATATTGGAAGTTTAAGGGTTGAAGTGTGAATATTGAAAGGTTAGATGCCTAAGTGAAAATAAGGGGGAATGAAAGTATTAAGTGTTGCATGTTAGGTGTCAAGTTCTTATATTTTAGTCCAAAATGCATAGTTCTATTTTTGATATTATGTGATCTATTTATGGAAATTTGATTAAATTAATTTAATATTAGGAAACCCTTCAATAAGGGTTTTGGAGGTATCGTTAACCCCCACGATTGGATAAGTTAGAAGGAAAAAGAAAATTCCTTCATCTTATTCATTTTGGTTAAAAACCATTAAAGAATCATATGAAAATTTTAGAAAGAAACTTCAAATTACTTAAATTAGTTCTCTAAACTTCAAATTAAGCATATATTTGTGAAGTTCAAGCTTAGTTCTGTCACGTAGTATCAGATTTATCATCAAACAATTGTAAGTAAAATTCTAAACTTGAATTCATTTAAAGATTCATGATCCTGGTGTTCTCTTTGGTGTTGGTTTTGTGAAATGATTTTATTATTTTCATGGGTTCGTTTTCTTTCATGGATGTCAATAGTTGGATGTACATTATTTTATTTTGGGGGTTAAAGATGTTTATTTCACCCTATTGCAAATCTAATTATATTGACTATGTGTAACCCCTAAACCCAACTTGGATATTATGACCAAATCTAGGTAGTCACATATAATATTCAAAAGTTCTTTTCATATTTAAAATAGCGTTGAAAATCCATATATCAGTATAATATGAAACTACCATTAGTGAGATTCATACGATAACATATATATATATATATATATATATATACATATATCGAACAAATTGTATAAAACATATAAAGAACAAAATACCGATTATACAAATATATCAAAACAGTAGCAAAACATGATTCACCAAAATATAACAAAAAGGGCATATAGGGATATACAGTGGTACAAAAATGAGGAGTAATTGGTTCTCTTGATGCCAAGTTTGTTAGTCTACTATATACTACTATATGAAAATGTTAAAAATTTAAAAATGAACTAAAAAGCCCAACGTGATCCTTGCGGTGTATAAAAACATACAGATAAAATACTTCAGTAAAAAAATCAGTTCATCAAACATGTTTTAAAAATATGAACATTACCCCCATCCGATCACCAGAATGTGTAGGTTCCCCAGAACCATACACCCACCAGTACACCCGGTAAGGGCCTTATACATATAGCATAAGGATCTGCGGTAAGGACTTACACTGTGCACAAAGCAAAATGAGCCTACGGTAAGGTCTTTCAAGTCATAGACTAGGCCTGAGATACTATCTCCAATAATACCCCCAATGACAGTAATAAACATATATGTATTCGAGTAAAACATTAGTTTAATCCATTAAAATATGAAAATATTTCATATTCAGAAATCAGATACAAAAATAAAGTAACCAGAGATCGTATCAGAAATATACTGTAAATCAGATGTCATATAAATAGTATTTAGAAAATCAGGTATCATGTCATAAAAATATTCAATATCATCAGAAATCTAAAACAATTCAAATAGTTAGTTTAAAACAGTAATGTAACACCATCAAGAAATACATTTGCACCGGTCTGAGTAGTTTGATAAAGAAGCCTATTACTGGGTCTTTCGATCATGATCAACGATAGCGTTAGATCCTATGAATCAGAAAATTTATATCAGAAACCTTATATGAATAGTAATAACCTCTATTTAAACAATTTACGGAAACCTACGAGTAACTCTCAGAGAACGTAAATCGAGCAGATCTGATGGACGGGAAGCACCAGATCTAATCGATCATCGGTCAGGAGAAACACGAGTACCTTCATAAAAAATATATTCTCGAATTAATTCCATATTCAAATCTCAAATAAATAAACAAAAATACTAAAAATACTAAGCATTTTTTATTAACGGGCTCGATTCAGGGTTTTTGGGTCAGAATTTGGAAAAACAGATCGCAAAATCGAACTCAGAAAGTCAAAAAACATAAAGATGAAGGATTTTGAAAAAAAGTCAACGATTCAATGGTCAATGGTTGATCAACGGTTGACCGGTTCGGGTTGGGTCGGCCCATTTCTAGAAGCCCACCAAGCAGTGAATCTTCCTCACATGTAGCAGCGGCGCGTGCGGAGCCTTCAAAGGTCGAAACAATTTCATAAAAATTCTTATATGTATTTTAAGGAGTTTTGAGACACTTACTAAGCTCAGTTCACAGCGGTGAATGGCAGAGAGCTCGATTTTACAACATCAAAAACTTGTTCTTCCTCACTCCCTCACATGTTGGTGGTAACAGAGACAAGGTGGACACTAGTGGACTTCGGAAGACACAAGGAACACGATGGTGCAGGAGGTATCAAAAATGGAGCAACGGCCAGCGACAAAACATCGATTGAAGTTTGCTTACTAAAAGAGTAAAACTTGGAAAGAGAGAAAAGATGGTTTCCAAATGAGGAAACTTTCTGTATTTGGGGTTATATATACCTTAAAAATGAAAATGGTATAATTTTATAAGAGGCTCTTCAAATTTAGTTACTTTTTGAAATTGGATTCAAATTTAATCAAAATTTCACTTTAGTCCCGAAATTAATTTTAAGAAAATTTTAGGCCCTAATTTGGGGTGTGACAACTCCCCCCCTTCAAATGAAATTTCTTCCTCAAAATTTACCTGGTGTAAACAGATGCAGAAACTGAGTCTCCATCGATTCTAATGTCTCCCAAGTAGCTTCTATAGGGCCATTGTTACTTCACTGAACTTTAACCATCGGAATACGCCTGTTCTGAAGAACTCTCTCATCCTGATCTAGAATATGAATAGGCTCCTTCTCATAGGACAAATTAGGTTTCAACTCTACCTCCTCTATCTGAATGATGTGACCTGGATCTGGATGGTATCACCTCAACATGGATACATGGAAACATCATGAATGCGACTGAGTTGGGGAGGCAATTCTAGTCAATAAGTAATAAGTCCGACTCTCTTCAGAATACTATACGACCTAATAAATCTCTGACTCAATTTACCCTTACGTCCAAATCTTAACACCTTCTTCCATGGAGATACATTTAGGAAAACTTGATCCCCAGCCTCAAACTCAATATTCTTCCTTCTTCGATTTACATATACTTGCTGCCTATCAAACACCTCTCTCAGGCGATTCGTTCTGACAGTATCCTTAGTCTCTTGAACTAACTTTGGACCGAAAGTTTTCCTATCATGCAACTATGTTCAATAGATAGGAGTACGACATCGAAGTCCATACAGATCCTCGTATGGTTCTATAAGAATACTTGCCTAGTAACTGTTATTGTAAGCAAACTCGTCTAAGGGTAAGAAATCTTCTTAACTACCACGAAAGTCAATCACACAACCCCATAATATATCCTCTAGTACCTGAATCACTCGCTCTGTCTGACCATCAATTTGCGGGTGAAAAACTATACTAAAATTCAAACGAGTATCTAGAACCTCGTGTAGAGCCTTTCAAAACCTAGAAGTAAACCTCGGATCTCGGTCAGATATGATAAACAACGTAACACCATGGAGTCTAACGATCTTAGAGATATACAATCTAGTCAGCTTGTACAGAGAATAATTGTTGGGATTTGAAGATGCTC